CTGCCCAAGACTGACGCCGACTGTTCAGCACTATAATTGGGCGTGCCTTGATTGCTAGCGCAGAAACGTCCCACCCATTAAACCAGCAAGCTTTTTCCATCCCACTGACGTGCCTGTTACTCCATTCACTCAAGTCGTAATGGATCTTTTGGGCCCATTTCACACTTCATCAGCAGGTCACAGATGAAATATTGTAGCCACCGACTACCTCACTGGTTACGCCTAAACCAAGGCTCTGAAAAGGGGCACCGCAAGTGAAGCAGCCATATTTTTCGTGGAGAATGTGGTGCTGAGGCATGGCACTTCGACAGTGGTAATAACAGACAGGGGAACTGCATTCGCAGCTGAACTATCACAGACGGTTTTAATACTTAGTGGCACGTTCCACTGGCGAACAATGGCGTATCATCCGCAAGTGTATGGTCTTACGGAGCGTCTCAACGAGACACTCGCGGAGATGCACAGCATGTACGTTGATGTGGAGCGTAAAAACTTGGAAGAGATCTTGCCATGTCACGTTCGCCTTTAACACGGCTCATCAAAAAACAACAAGAACAACGCCATTCCGCCGTCTTCATGGTTGTAAACTCACCACTATGCTGTAGCTATGGTGCCGCACGAGTGCGAAAAAGTCGATACGGATGCTGATTATATCACCCAGCTTGCCGAAGAAGCCCGACAACTTGCACGCCTACGTATTAGTCGCCAGCAGGACTACGATTCAAGACGCTCCAAGCTTCGTCACCGACTAGTCTTATACGAGCCAGGATACAAAGTTTGGAAATGAATCCCATTCCGCCCTGTGGCCTCTGAGAAAAACTGTTTGGGCCCTATAGAGTTTTACGACATCTCAGTGACATTAATTATGAGGTTGTTCCTGATACCGCACACTCATTAGGGCGTCGAAAGTGTGCTCCAGAGGTCGTGCACGTTGTTCGGATGAAACCTTAATTCTCCGAATGCACTCATGCGTTTCCAGCGACTACAAACCACTTGAATTATAAAGCATTGGGACGATGCTTTCTTGAATGGGAGGCTAATGTCACGGCTAAAGGCCGGGCAAGAAGACAGAGGACAACGAAGCGATGACACGGTTGCTCCGAGGAAGACGACGTTGAAAGCCGCTGCTCTTTTGTTCTGTTATACAGACCTTGCTTTTCCTGGTTGCACCGTCGTGTCCTTTATCCTGTTATTTTCACATTGCGACAATATATATATATATATATATATATATATATATATATATATATATATATATATATATACTTGGTGTGGGACAATTAATCAGCTGCCCGCTCATAATAAGTTCACGTGCTAAGTGACGCCAAACATGCGAATAAAAGTGTTTTCACACTCGTTCTTTGGCTTATAAATGGCGCTGACTGTCACTCCTACTTCTAAATTCACATATAAACCCCAAAAAGTGGATGGAGGGACGGCCGCTGTGATAGCTCAGTGGTTAGAGCATCGAACGCGTTATTCGAAGGTCGTAGGTTCGATTCCTGCTCACAGCTGGTTTTTTCATCCACTTTTCTTGCTTCTTTCTTCTTATTTACATTCCATTGGTTCTAATAACTTCCCCTGTACATTCCTTGGCATTACTGTCTGTTAGATCTCATTAATATTGTGTTAAAACACGGAAAAACGAGCCCTTATGTATACACTTCTTCCCCTTATTTCATTGAACGAGGGTCTGGTACTGGCAGACTTGGTGTGTTTACGTTGTATAAGATTGACAATTAATTAGCTGCCCGCTCATAATAAGTTCACGTGCTACGTGACACTAAACATGCGAATAAGAGTGTTTTCACACTCGTTCTTTGGCTTATAGATGGCGCTGACTGTCACTCCTACTTCTAAATTCACATATAAACCCAAAAAAGTGGATGGAGGGAAGGCCGCTGTGATAACTCAGTGGTTAGAGCATCGAACGCGTTATTCTAAGGTCGTAGGTTTGATGCCTGCTCACGGCTGGTTATTTTCTCATCCACTTTTCTTTCTTCTTTCTTCTTATTTACATTCCATTGGTTCTAATAACTTCCCCTGTACATTCCTTGGCATTACTGTCCGTTAGATCTCATTATTATTGTGGTAAAACACGGAAAAACGAGCCCTTATGTACACACTTCTTTCCCTTATATATATATATATATATATATATATATATATATATATATATAGATATATACAGTTGGTGTCTAATACTCTCCTATTGTACGAACAGGTTTCCAATAGAAAACGTATCTTACCAATAGAAGTTGTACTGGTATGACTAGCTATCGTTCTTTTATAAGACAATACGTATAGACAGCTGCCACCCATATGTCCGGCACATTCTTATCTGAGCATTGTTGACACTATATGTGTACAATATCACATCATCACGCTTACGTGTGCTTTCCACTTAATTTTTGTGCCTCTCCTGCTTGGTCTTTTTCAAGACCGCAAGATGTTGTAAATCTATAAAATAAAAATAAATAAGTTGAGATGTAATGAATGCCGGCTATCAATTTTCATTAATCTGGTACCTGACAGTACGTTAAATATTGAGCACTTGGAATATCAAGCCTAGTTATTGATTCGATGATTATATATTATTCTTCTTTTATATGCTTAGCCGTTTGTGATGAAGCGGCCAAGTCTGAAGGCCCATCTATTTGACAGCAGAATAATATAGTCAAATAATCAGGTACTTTGCTGTTGAAGGACAGTTGGAGAGTAGCAGGTATACAGGGCTGAGGTTGGGTAAAATCACCATGCGCTTCTTCTCATTGAGGAAGCAAGTTCAGATAATTAGGATATATTGCTAAAAATAATTATTTTCACACCGTGGCAGAGTGATTCCGTTTGATTCCGTTGCCTACTCTTTCATTTCGGTGGCACCTTTCACTTGCAGACGTGGTTCGCGTATGCTAAAGGTGTGAACGGCAACGCAACAATCCAAGTTTGCGAGTAGCGATTTTCCTAAATTTCGGGTAACATATTTGGCATATAATATGACATGCGATGCGCAGAATAACCATTTTGTCGACTGAAAACGGTAAACAAAAGTGTTCCGCTGTGTCGTGTGTCTGTTAGCTGCGTGGAATGTTACTTTCACAGAGTTCATTGTTTTGTTTCAAAATGTCCCGGTTACTATGTATGTTGTTCTGCATTTCACATGGTAACATGTCCATGTCCACCAATGTTTCTTCATTATGTGCATTTCTAGTTGTGAGATATGTCATTAGATGCAGGAATTGCTTGGTATACCTTATAATTCATGTCAATGTAAAGCGAATCAATATAATTATGAAGCGAATCAATATGAATATCTATAGTTATTCGCATATTTTTTGTCTTTGTGTTCCTTATTTGAGCGCTATTCGCTACGCTACTGAACAATGAAACTTGTAATCCCTGAACAGCCAACAGTATATATTTCTATTTATGTTGCTTTACGTTTATGGCAATCATCTATTTATTTAGCAGCTTAAGTTACACGATGAGTATAATAGTAGGCCTCTCTGAGGTTGTGATTGGCCTGCTCACTATCCTGCGTTTACCTTCTCACTAGACAACACTTCGGAGCGCCTTTGGTAAATAAGGACTAGTGAAGATATGTATCAATATATATTCACACTCGCATACAAGTGAAGTTCAGTTGATAAGCCGAGTTTTCGGTCGCGCATGCGCGTGCATGGGGAGGGGGTTGGAAGGGGGGGGGTCCGTTTGGTGCTCGAGTCTGTGTGTTTTGAGATGTTAGCACAACATGTGAAGGTTCATTCGAATTGTTAGTGTCTGCGTTACATACTGTTAGTACACACTTGAATAGTCACAATATAATGTGCTTGAAGGCGGCCTCTCAGACCTTCGAACTGTTTCAGGCTTTTACCATTAAAACAACCCTCTGCCTAGTGAAAATTATCGTGGTGACCAACTCAGGCGAGATCTGTTCCGACGGGTATAGAAGTATCACCACCGCTGCAGCATTTAGCCCATTGCCGAGCCAACTTTAAATGCTCGCGTCCGAGATTCATACCCAAAAACTGACAGTGTCCAAATCTTCACAAACACTGTGACATGGTTTTCCGTATGCAGACTTTATTCACTCTAAAAACACCCAGGAATTATTTGTGCAGAACACCGCTTGGGTTTGCAATCGTGTCAACCGAAGCGACGAAAAAAAAAGGTGGGTAACTGACAGAAGGGGGAGAATGAAAAGTATCGCCCCCCCCCCCTAACTACACCACTGGCTCTCTGGCTAGGCCTCCTGGTATTATGAGCAGTTAGAGCTTGTGTATAGGAAGCAAGGTAAGAGCGAAAGCACGCGGTAAGCAAGATAAGCCTATCAGAAAACGTTATTTGTAATCCACCGCAAAACTGTCATGCTAAAACTGAGTCGTCACCAATGTAACTGTTGTGACAGCATTACTTAGACTCGGGGTTCTAGTGAAACAGTTGAGCGCATGTTGACTCGGGAACAGTGCTCTGAATGTCGTAGAGACTGCCGACAAAACGAGCGTATGATTTAATCACGGTTTCGATACTTCTCCTCCCTTTGTAGTCCTCCAGTACACTGCTAAAATATTTTCCTTAGATTACGCAAAAAGGCGTAGGTAACATGCTGCCAACCAGTTCCGCAAAAAATAATAGTGCACAAGAGATCACGTAGAACACATAGAACGTACAGCCCGTTCAGCTTTCACGGAGTTCTCCGCAACGAAAAAATAGAGTAACAGCTGCTATGGAACAACACCTGCTCGGTAGGGCATTTTCTCACACATTATTCATAATACTACTGCTACATGTCCCTAAATAACAAACGTGTTTTCCTTAGATTCAACATGAGGCAGATGTAATCGGCAGATCTTTCTCCTGCAAGTACAGGGTCATTCGAAATTTTTCAGGCCACTGTTCCAACTAATCCTGTGGCAGCATCCCCTAGGAACTTTTCACTGCTTCTGCACATGCTTAAACATTTATGAAGTGAATTCAAATGTTTCAAAACCAACTAGAAGTTTCGTACTCACTAAAATCGGATTTTATTTTCCCATGAAAATACAACGAAATACAGCACAGACATGCTACTAATTGAGTGAAGAAAATTTGTCAAAAAAATTTATTTTTACCGGCGGCTTTGTATCTGGAATTCAAAACATTGAAAAGGAATATCATAACTTCCAGATTCTAAAGCACCTTTGTTGTTTTCCTATTGTAACAGTACTGGGCAGGCTTCTTTTCTGAAAAAGAGAAACAACAATTTGTCAGCACAACCACACCAGGCGAGTAGAGAGCACAAAACACTGCTTGAACAATCAATTTATTCACTTCAAGACTCCTAATAGGCCTTTAGAGGCACTGGCTTGCAGCACAAAAATAAACAATCCCACATAATAAATATAATACATATCACACAGAATGAAATGGCTGAAAGCACAAACAACTTCATTAACACACCAAAACATTAGCTAACAATACTAGTTGAGACAAAAAAGCAAACGAGTAATTCAATGTATTAAACATTACAACAATTAGGGTTATGCCATGCAACATCACCGAGCATACAATACAACAATTAGGGTTATTCCATGCAACATCACCGGGCGTTTTTATGACCAATATGAATTTGGCGGAAAAACTTTTCACATTTGTCGAAGTTCGAAACTCCTCCTGGTCAGTTGATTCTGTTGCCATAATTTTGCTCCCTAGCTATGAGAGTCTTTAGTATGGCGGCGACTGAGCTAAAAGTCATAAAACAACAATTTTTTGACAAGTCGTTTTGAACTGCACTCAATAATGGCGTTTCCTGCAAAGTATTGAAGTGATCCAACTAAATAAAATTCTTATGCATATCTATTCTTTGAGAGCTTTTTCCACAAGCACTACTGAATAATGTGCCAGGTTGGGGATTTTTTCTGGTAACATGACAAATTTCAAGGACACAAATGAAATATTTGCTGGTGACCTTTTTGACCTGCTACAAATTAAAAATATTTACGCACTGAAGTTTAGCGGATTGTCTAAAAAATGTGAATTTCACTTTTTGGGGGCAAAGGTCTGTATTCAGCATCAAAAAGCTTGCCTTGGTGATCGGACAAAAATTATGCACAACATTTCATTTTGAAGCTCTATGTACTACCTTAATTTAGGTGAAGTTACTAAAGGGTTTTATTTTCTAAACTCCAGAAGTATTTTTTAGGGGCAAAGCTCCTTATAGCGGCACCCCTTCGTCCCTCATGGCTGTTGTAGTGTGTATCGAGTATAACATTTTGACCTCCAAGGTGGTGCGGTGGGAGATTTCTTTTGTGCGTTGTTGAACAATAAAAAATAGTGCTCAATGTACATACCGACGGCTGATAATGAGGAATGAGAGACAGGAGCATTCAGCTTTCAGTTAACGCGCACGCTGCGATCCCCATTAGCAGCCATTGGCATGTACAATGAGCTCTATCTGACAAGAAAGGGTTGCTCCATTATACTCGCTGGGTGTAACATCCTTTGTTTAGAAAGGTTTAGCGAGCGTTGAGCCGCAGGGACATCAATACAATGAACTAGTATATACCATGTATGAATTTGAGTTGGTTAAAGGTGGGAAGTAGATAAGAAGCGCAAGCCGTAAGAAAGTAAAAGCCGAATTCTCCTGTCTCTCATTTCCCATTAGCAGCCATTAGGATGTACAATGAGAATTATCTGACAGGAAAAGGTTTTCTACGTTATACTCGCTGGGCGTAACCTCTCCGGTTTTGGAAAGGTTTACCGAGCGTTGGACTGCAGTGCCATGAATACAGTGAACTAGTATCTATACCATGAACTCGAGGTGGTTAAAGGTGGCAAGTAGACCCAAAGCGCAAGCCGTAAGAAAGTGTGCGTGTGCCACCTCTCGTTGAGTCCTTGCAATGTCCGCTGGATGGCGTTGCTTCTATATGGGGAACATATTGAAACGAAGATGCGCGAGCCTGCGGGGCGTGGAAAAAGAAGAAGAGTAGTGGAGCGGCGCCTGGACTGTGTGGTTGGACGGAAGCGTTCTAGGCCTGTCTCAGAAGTACGCTGCTATTTCAAAACTCCATTTCACTTCATCTGTGAATAAACACAGTCACTCGTAACAATATAATGAAAAGATGAGAGATGGTGGTTCTTGGAGTGTTGAATATATGGACGAACGGACACACAGACAGATGCATGGATGGACGCATGAATGGTCGCAGGGGCGGATGCATGGACGAACGCAGGGACAGACAATCGAATAGATGCACGCACAGATGGGCGGATGGACGCATGGAGGGTCACACAGACGGACGCATGGACGGAAAGAAGCAAGAACGAATGGACAAACGACCGCTTCGCCCCACTCTCCACCATTCATTCCGTGGATATGCTGCCACTTTTTTTTTAATTATGTACTTCCACCAGCTTTACCTGTACTTAACTCAATCGGCATGAAGCACTCGCAGGGGCAATCTTCAAAAGACATCCACAGGCCTGAGGTACACTTAGCAAGCTTTATGTGGAGCAATAGAAATCAGAATGGGAAAGTCTGCATTCCGTTGCCAGCAGGGATGCGCTACAGTGGCTGCAATGAATGTCATCAGAGTGTGGAGACCAGTAGCGTAGCAAAAAGTTATTTTTCGAGTAGGGATGGTGTGTGAGGGGAAGCCGGCTTTGGTCGTACTTGATGTATGTACATTCTTGTTTATTTATTTATTAACGTTACCGTACAGGTTTCCGTAGGTACATTAAGTGGGGGGCGAGAAAAAAAAACACAAAACTTAACAGAAGCAACGGAGTACAAAACAATATAGTAATATAACACAACTTACAGAGGAAGGGCATCTAAAAAAAATAGTGTAGTTACAAGGGTGGGGTCTAATACAAAGTTAAATTAACGGCAGGTACTCAAAATAAATGGTGCCAAAACATGAACACGAGGCACTAAGTCAGAACACTTTGCAGATATGTACAGGTATACAGAGCTACAATTTATGAAAAATAATGCTGGTATACTAGGTTGTGGAATAGTGTATGATCAGTGATTGAAAATATTGTGTTAGAAAGATTACTCCATAGTGTTACGGCTGTGGGAAGTGCTCATAAGTGAAATGCTTGGGTGCGGCCGTAAATGCGTTTAAAACTTTGCTGTTTGTTTAGTCAATTTCCCACGCGCATGGGAGTTTCTAAGGTAAGGGAATAGATTAGGGCAGTTTACATATTTGTGAAGTAAGCAAACGATTCCAACTGCGTGACGTGTTTCTAAGGGTTCGAGAGAGTTATAAAATTTTATTTTAGCTGCACTAAACTGGCAGCTATATTTCTGATTGATTGATTTGTGGGGTTTAACGTCCCAAAACCACCATATGATTATGAGAGACGCCGTAGTGGAGGGCTTCGAAAATTTAGACCACCTGGGGTTCTTTAACGTGCACCCAAATCTGAGCTCACGGGCCTACAACATTTCCGCCTCCATCGGAAATGCAGCCGCCACAGCCGGGATTCGATCCCGCGACCTGCGGGTCAGCAGCCGAGTACCATAACCACTAGACCACCGTGGCGGGGCGGGGTATATTTCTGAGAGATGAAATGTGCAGCACTGTTTTGAATATATTCGATCATAGAAATTAGGTATTTTTGATAAGGGTCCAAACAGATGAAGGGAACTCAACTTGAGCATGGGACGTACATTCAATGTGCCAGTGTGTACGTATGCATTTAGTTATGCACGTGCAGAACTAAGAAAATCACAGCATATCTACGAAGTGAATGATGATGGGTGGAGCAAAGCTTCGGAGGGTTTTATCGGTAACCATGAGCCCCGCCGCGGTGGTCTTGTGGCTAAGGTACTCGGCTACTGACCCGCAGGTCAAAGCTACAAAGCTGCATGGCTCACCTGGAAGTCCCCACACTTAACCTAGTCCTTGTAGCATCTCTCTGTTGACAATGAAATGCAAATGATAACCATATTCTCATTTCAATTATTCTTTAGAGAGCACCAAATTCGCTCTCTGTAATCCAGGTGAGAGGGATTCTGCTGAAGATTGCCCATGCGAGTGCATCATGTCGCTTGAGTTGCGTAGGTGAAAAGCTGCTGCAGCTATATAAATTTCAAAAAATATTTTTGGATTTAAAAATAATACCTTCTAGTATTTCCACCTATAAATGGCTTGTCCATTATTATTTCCACCTATAAATGGCTCAAAATATTATTTTGTGCATATTTATAGTCTGACCGCCAAGCCAAATTTTTTATGCTGACTACCGAGGTTTTCTCAAACAAAGGGACACTCACAAGATTTTTTAAGGGTATGTACCGTTAGAACAGTGCCAAAAATTTTTTTAATTTTTAGCATGTTGACAAGCCACCAGCACACATTTTATTTGTGTTCTTGGAACTTACCCTGTTCCTAGAAAACAAAATCTCAATTGGTGCAACTTTATTCAATATTGCTCGTGAGAAAAGCCCTAAAAAATTGATATAGATAATTAAGTCATTATTTCAAAGGAATATAACTTCATTACCTTGCCAGCCATGTCTTTTATTAAGTGTATTCCCAAAATTTCTTTTGAAAAGAGTGTTGTTTGGCACTTTTACCTCACTTGGGGACAAACAATAGCCTCTCATAAACTAAGAGAAGTAATTTTGGCAACAAAAATAGATTACCACGACGAGTTTCGTACTTCGAGAAATATGTGGAAGTTTTATGAACCATAATTGTGATGGTTGGAAAAACGTTGGATGATTTGGCATGGAATGACTCATTAGAGATAACATCAACAGATCATTCAAGAAATATGTCAAATATTTTTAAAAGTTAGAGAAAAGGGGCATTAGCGTGCTACATGGGGAGTTGCCTTCCTGTGGCAGAAGGCATCTTCAGATAGGTACAAGCATTATTTACGGCAGTATTTTAGCAATTAACACAATTATCTACTTAACCAGTGGCAATAGCCGGTCCGGCGGAATGGTCGAATGGAACCCCTTCCTACAGGTAGTCCAAAGCTAGTTTGGAATTTAGGAAAAGGTCCACTGGTCATCACCGCAAAGCGACGCATTCTGCTTAATTTAGCTGGCGAAAGCAAAACCGACGCACCAAACAGTGCAGAAACCATTTACTTCGACAATGCCTATCATGGCGACACTGTTTATATTGCATTAGGGGAGAAGATTAAGTGGGCTTCGATAAGCGGGCACAAAGCAAAGTGTTTAAGTTGACGGTTGATAACGCTTAGAGGAACCGCGTTGTCATTG